TCATTTGCATATGGTGTTTACATCTCCCAACTTATTCGATGCTCATAGGCATGCCCTGAGTATGATTAATTTTTAAGCTGAGGCAGACTAATGACAAATAAGTTGATATTACAGGAATTTAAAAAAAAATCGTTTAAAGGCAGCATTTCGTAAATTCTATTATCGTTATAATGACTTTGTTAGCAAATATAACCTATCGATGGGGTATTTTGGCTGACGTGATTCATATCCATTAATTAGGCCTTTGTTTTTATACTAAATTTGACTTTGGAATTTTTCGTCTATCTTATCAACATATAGGGCTCACGGCGAATGTGCTCGGTCAACAGGGAATACTACTCCTCCTAGCCACCTTATCCCAACTCTGGATTTCCGGGGGGGGGGGGGGGGCGCGTTTATGCCCTGTTCAAGATATGTATTGTTTGTAGTTTTTTTCTTAGACCGAACACTATTCGTTGTCTTTGCCTTTTTCTTTGATCATAAATCAATTTAACAGGAATTGTTTACATCAAACAAAATCTATAACATAGTTTTTTTTTTTTTTTTTTTTTTTTTTTTTTTTTTTTTTTTTTTTTTTTTTTAATTTCTAAACGTTTTTAATCGGATAGCTTCCATTCAAATTTTAATGTTCAGTTACAACTTTCGATATTAAAATGTAAAGGAACACTTGATAATATATGACGGACATAAGTATCTTGTTCATAATTACACTCTCTTCATTTCATTTTTTAAAAAAATAAAATTACATAAATGGAAATCCCAATTCTACTGGAAAAAATGGAAATCAAATTGTCCACTGAAAGTGATAATAATTTTTGGACACAACAACGTAGAAAATACCGTATATTTGAGAGTATTGTAAAAGAGTATTGTTAGATTGAAAATTTTTCTTTTAGACCTTGGAAAATCCATTTAAGCAAGTTTTTCCGAAAGACCTTAAATAAAAAATAAATATCAGATCTAAAAATTGTCTTCAGTACTTAATTCACAAGAGTCTGATGGTAAACATGCGCCACCTTACGCTTCGCATAATAACAGGTATGTTGATGTACAAAGGTCATGCCTATACATAATACGTTATCGTCAGGACAAGCCTTTTAATTATTAATTAGGAGAATAATATTTTATTTTCTATTGATAAGTATATTTAAACTACTGTATCTCTAAAACAAAAAAGTATGCCTTTTCCTCAAACTATTATAGAACTAGTGTGGAAGTAAAATACAACAAGCATGTAATAAAATAGAATCACAGAACAGGGTTAAGTTCATTTAATTTCAAGTTTAAAACAAATGTTATATTTATATCGTGAAAAAATATTCTTAATTTTTTTTTTTAGCTATAACAGCAATTGATAGAATTTGTTTTATTTTTCCTTTAGATTTTATTTGATAAATTTCCCATTTAAACGACGATTTCAAACCCATGACCTTAAAATTGTTTAGGAAGGACCCATTTTTAGTCCTCGTGACCAACAAATGTTTCCAACGCTGTGAAAAAACTTATTCTGTATCCATTTCAAATTTGGCTTGAATTACATTGATCTGAAAAAAAGCATGCATATATAATATTTTTCAACCAAGTCCATAGTTGCTAATATTCAGTTATACTTTTGTGTCTGTTTCCTCTTTCAAGTTCGTTTATTTTTTATTTTTCATTATTTTTTTTTTTTTGTAAACGAGGCATATAATATTCTTTTTCACAATTTTTTTATTGATTGATTGATTGATTGATTGATTTGGAAGTCAATGCTGTATTTCTGACTTCAGCAGGAATACTTCATTAGATAAAAGTAATACATGTATGTCTGCTTCTTTGTTTATTATTGCATATAACAAAATAAATGATTATCTTTTATGAGGACCCCTTTAGACTTTTAACCATTTAATTCAAATTCAAATTGAAATAATAAAAAAAAATTCGGTTTAAGAAAAAGGCGTACTCTAAATTAGTACATGAACAAAAGAAAGACATATCGACGCAATATATAATTTTACATATATTTATAATTAAGTTCCTCTGATGGACATTTATCTCAAATCCATGATACACATAAAATAGATGTTAGGGGGTCATACACAAGCGAGGAAATATTCAGCTGGAATATTCCCTGCCCCGCTTCCTTGTCATGCGAGTATTATTTACGTTTGACACGATCATGATTGTTTATAAACAGATTGCATTTAGACTGCACTTGGCCTATTTAAGTTTAAATAGCATCATAGATCTCTTAACACGGTACAAATTAATTGAATAAATAGTTTTCTCATCATAGTTGTTAAATATTCCACTTTAACATTCCGTCTTATCGTTTTTATTTTTTATTAACAACTTTCTTAGGTCAAATTCATAATGTCACTTCTTATTTCAAACCAATCATTAAGAGTACGGTAATTAAGTTATGTAATATTCCTATATATAGAATACAAACCAAACTACGTCCACTCTGTGTCATCTTTCGGGTTTTTAATTTGTTGTATTGTGAATATAGAGAAAACATAGATATAGGTATCCATGAAAATACATCTATTGTTCATATAAATAAAACTAGATGACTCGTTCTGTAAAACATTAGAACGACTTAAAATATCAACAAAACAGACACATGTATAATGTGTTACTAGTATTTCACATAGCTTTTGCATTTGAGTCACCCATAATGATTTTAGAGCAAGATTGGGTTTTAGTTGAAATATGAGTTTCTCTGTTTTAATCTTTAGGCATAAAAGGAATTGTAGATTTTTTTTCTTATTTAAAAACTGGCAAAAAGTAAGAGAAAATAATTTAATAAATAATATAACATTCTTAGGATAAAACATTTATGCATCGAATAATGTAACACTGACTCCTAATAAAAACTACGTTTAAAATATTTTCTAAATACAGATTATGAGGAGCAAGGATTAAAGTCCAGAGTAGCATGACATGCTTGAATTAGTTTGTAAACAGGTCTTTTTATTTGTCATGTTTATTTTTACTATATCACTATATTACTATTAAAAAAACAGTACAACAAAAGACGTCGGCAAATCAATGAAGCACATAATTTTCTGTTTTCTTTCTACATCTTATGAATGGAGGTAAAAAGACACATTTATAAGAGAAAGGGGCGGAAAAAAAGGGGTCAAGGGCTGTGAACCATGACGGTTGAAAATAAAATGCTCTTTTTGTCAGTTTTATATTTTAGGTATCTTCATTCTTTTTAAAGGAACTTTTAATACTATTTATTTTCCCTGGTAAGCATGCTTAATTATAAAGATGTAAATCATGATGAGCAGAATTATTAAATTTTGGATTTAATGCATTTTCACTTGCTATTATATATGCCAGATGAAATGCTTATCTATCAAAACCTATAGAGATATTACATCTAGTCTCAATTCAGTACCAATCCGAAGCTTTTTTAATCATATTAAAGCAAGATGTACAATTGTTTTACTGTAGTTTTTAGAAAATAAAACCCTGGAAAATTGGGCCACCTTTTACTCAAGTTTTTAAATATAAATATATAGAAAAACGTAAAGTTTTACAGTGGTGGAAACTATAAATGTAACTTTGACGAACATTGCAGAAGTTTGTCATTTTCATTTCAGCATATGTTAGCAAATAATTATCTAGTGACAGGTGTGTATTAATGATACAATTCAACATCAGGGGGAAAAGGAACTTGTAAGTTGAAATTGATAGAATTTGTTTTCGATACTTTTGTGTATTTCAATGCAATTATACAAAAAAATATGTGCAAACCAAAAATGATAAGAGTTTGCACATTTGTAAGGAAGGGCAATTACAGTTATATTTTATTGTTGAAGTTTGAAGGCACCATAAATATACACTCCAGGAATTAAATAACAAAGAAAGAAACAACTGTAGACTCGCATTTGTATAACATTTTTCCCCGGTAACCGAGTATAAAATTAGTATAGAGAAAGTATTCATTGATGAGAACCTACATCAAGTAGATAATTATAATAATGATAATAATTATAAACATTAATTAAGATTCATATTTAATATTCATTACTTTAAGGCACTGAATATTGTTTAAGATACTAAATAATTAATCACATGTACAAATAAATAACTTAAATTATCTTTTAAAAAGTGATTAGTTAATAAAATGAGAGAAATAGATATTACTAATACATGTGCTAAGATAAGATACACTTTAAAATGCATAAAAATACAGAGAATGGGCACGATTTTAAAATATCTGGTAAATGCATCCTAGGGTAATAAATCCAAGAAAAAATTACATATTGCAGTATGTCGATTTAAAAAGACGAGTTGTAAGGTCACGTTTGAAAGTTTGAAAGATGAAAATATTTGCAACTCTAAGTAATGAAAGTTGTTTCTTTAGCGTCTTTACAATGGAAGAACATTCTATTCTTAACAATCATCTTCTGTATCAGAAGCATCTGCTGTAAGAACAATAACTCTTGATAACACAAAATATTGTAATAATAGTATTTTCTTATTTTCTCTTTAGTCACCCTGACGATATTAATTACGTGTATCAATGGGAAAGACATTTGCTATAGAAATGACAGTTTGACAACTTATGATCCAAATATCTCTATCTGCTGTGGCGGAAAGGTCTCTAGAAAACAGGATTCAATGTCTTGCTGTCGAGGTACAAGTTTTTACTATAAATTACTGATCATCGTTGAAATTATTTACTTATTTAGGATATTTAAAATAGGATCACATGAGTGTCTTATCAGATTTACACTTAAAATTCATTGCAGATCAATTGTATAACAAAACCTTGTTTGACTGTTGTGGAAACGAACTCCTAGATAAATGGGACAAAGGTGTCTCCATGGTGTGTTGTGGCGGCCGACTTTATAATGAAACTCGTACGTTAGAAACTACTATTATGAATTAAAATCTTCAACAAAATGCCCGTTAGGCATGTCATAAATTAAAATTAAAAAACATCAACTTTAGGAGAGAAAGACAGAGTGTATTAAAATGCATTTTTTATTTATGTAGAAAATATGGTTTGCTGTGGCGACATTCAGATCAACAAATCAACACATTTCTGTTGTACAAACAAGCCAGTTCTAAAATCTAGTGGTATGGACTGCTGTTTTGATGAACCGTTCAACCCGACAACTCACCGCTGCGAAGATGACAGAGTGATACAGGTGACAGAGGGTTTATGTGGTGATACTTCTTACGATGTGAATTCAAGCATGAAATGCTGCGATGAGAAACTTCACAACACTTCAGAGATCGAAGACCCTATTGAGTGTTGCGGAAAAGAGCTGTATTCCATATTCTCACAAAAATGCTGCAAAGGAACTAACTTTCGAGCCCCCAGAGACGAACAATGTTGTGGACAAGGTACTCCGAAAGTTACCACCTTTGATATATATTTAAAGGATACTTTAGTTTGGTGTAGATACATGTATTTATAACTAAAGATATGTTCTTCTTTTAATCTTAATAGCATCTATAAATTTATCTTCGCATATTTGTTGCAATGGCGTAAAATATTCCCGGTCGTCAACAACTTTAGCGTGTTGTGGGAATCAAACATATAATTCAGTTTCTGAGGATTGTTGTGGTATCAACGTGTACAAGAAATCGAACCAACATTGCTGTGGTATGTCTAATTTAGATATCATATATCGTGTATTTGTGATATATATATATATATATATATATATATATATATATATATATATATATATATATATATATATATATATATATATATATATATATATATATATATATATATATATATATATATATATATATATATATTATACACCTATTTACTGGCTATGAGGACAATAGCAAGTTTATCGTTCCCCAAGATAGCAACTATTTCCCGAGGCGCAGCCGAGGGAAATAGTTGCTGTCGAGGGGAACAATAAACATGCTATTGTCCGAATAGTCAGTAAATAAGTGTTTTATTATACCGAAGCAGTCTTTACTTGTGTTACGTCACAATCTGTATAAAACCAGTGGAGTTCCGAGATGAAAAGCGAGAATGCTGCCGGTGAATAGTTTAATGACTATTTCACCATGGCAAATAGCACAAAAACTATTCCACGGTAGGGGCTGTTTGGGAAAAATAGCATGTTTATTCGTAATATTTTTATATAGAAAAAATTCACAGAGGTATATATATATATATATATATATATATATATATATATATATATATTGTATCGCAGGTGCAGAAAATGTAGCATTGGTGGGTGAAGATTGTTGCGGGACCAATGCGTACAGTATTGTAAAACAGTTTTGTATGAGGCGCCGTTTTGGTATTTACTGCCAAAAAATGATATCACCTATTCGAATATGTGATATCACCTATTCGAATAGGTGATATCACCTATTCGAATAAGTGATATCACTCATTCAAATTGAATAGGTGATACTTATTCGAATAGGTGATATCACTTATTCAAATAGGTGATATCACTTATTCGAATAGGTGATATGACCTATTGGAAATGAATAGGTGATATCACCTATTTGAATAGGTGATATCACCTATTCGTGCTGAATAGGTTATATCACCTATTCGAATAAGTAATATCACCTATTCAATTTGAATGAGTGATATCACCTATTCGAATTGGTGATATCACCTATTTTCATTTCTTACAACAATAAATAATGAATGCTCCCTTCCTCAAGATTATCTAGATTTTCATTGGAACCAAGCAAATTCGGGCTGCATTAGGGTCTGTAAGTCTCGTCACGTGACTCGCGAGATTTTTCGATAATATTAACTTCCAGTTACCTTACACATGGAGATGTGTATTGGGTTATGCATGTTTATGGTTTACACAAAGCGTGTAAGGAAAGTTTAAGCAGTTGTACAAAGCCGAAGGGTTCTCCGACTTACGATGGATAAATTGAGTGTCGTAAAAGCTTGGGTGCGAGCAAGTAGGAGGAGAATTTCGATCGAAGTACAGGTAAACAAGTCAGAGAATGTCACCTGTTTCTTGGGTATTCTTGGGTGAAATAGAAGTCTTATATTATACATTTGTATCTGATTAGAATAGTTTTGTTATCATCATTCCAACTAATTTATTAATAGATTTTTCTTGAATATGTTATTACCAGCTGATTAAGGAGGAGTAGTGTAAGTGTCAGATGGGTACGAACGTCATCTTGTGACAGCATCACCTTTGTTTGGGTAAATAATTTGTTCAGAATACGCTTCATTTATCAACAAAAATTTAGCTGTTGCATGATAGTAGGTCTAGTTTTTTTAAGTATTCAATGTTTGAAAGCACTTATCAGGTCCAGTACAATCTTTTGATTTAGCTATATAGCTTTATTAAGCTATTCAGAATAGCTTAATTTAGCTATTTTATATCACTTTTTCTTAAATGTGTACTTTTCTCAGCAGGCACAAAAAGTCGCACCTTGGTGCAGTGATGATACTCAACCTTGAACTCATCTGAAATTGATGCATTTAAAACTCACTCATTAAAATCTCCTTGCATACATGTGATAATTTTTAGGCCCAAATACTGTACAGCAGTCCTCAAAATACAGGAATTTGGGTGAAAATACTGTACATTGTTCATCAAAAAACTATACAAAAAACTGTAAAAAATATCGACCAAAAATCAATGTAAGAGGTTCATTTTTAGCTCTTCTGAGCCAAAGGCCCAAAGAGCTAATGCTATGGCCATTTGTGCGGTGTGCGTAAACTTTTTAGAATATGGTCCATAACTCAAGAACCCTTTGGCCAATTATTGTCTTTGTCACAGGGTATCCTTGGGCCAAGGGCTTCCGTTTATACTAAAACTAGGGTTGTGACCCTTAAACAAGGGGAGATAATTAGGAAAATGGAAACAAAAGAGACTTTGTACTCAAAGTTCTAAAAGTTTTTTGGGCTACATACGCAATTGATACAGTTACTTCTTCAATGAATTTATAAAGGAGGCCAATTATGGTCAACAAGATAATTGATTGGTAATAATTCAGTACATTCAATGAGAAGCAATCATACTTATCCATGCCTCAATGCACACAAGGTAGTGGACAGTTACTCAAATAATAGAAATTTATCTTTTGCTTGAAAGTAATCAAAAGTTGCAAAGTTGGAGCTATCTTTGATTTTGCTTGTTGTTTCGATAGCCCATAGCACATATATGAATAGTCAAATACATGCGACTTTTTGTCTATTTCTTACCAAAATAATTTTTGTGAAAAACTGCATATAAATAGCTAAATCAAGCTATTTTGAATAGCTTAATAAAGCTATATAGCTATTTCAAGCTATTTAGCTAAATTAAGAGACTGTACTTATTTCCCAATCCCAACGATAAGACTTTCATTATATATTCTGCAAATTCTCTCTGCATTTATCATTGAACAAAATTCATATGACTGCAATTATATGACCATATTCTTCAGTTTAGAGAGCATGTTATAGAGGATATTTTGGTTAAAGTTTTGGTCTGTTTCATGCAGTGTTTCAAATATTCTTTCATCTTACACAATTGTATACATTAAGATTTATTTTATAGCTAAAGTACAAGAGAACTGCAGCATCTAAGACTATATGTACATCGACTTTGAATAATCTACCCAGTATATCCTCAAAAAGGCAACTCAAATACAGGTATGAAATTGATGTCACAAAATAAGTTTTTGGACTTACATTTACTCTTATAATTCATATACATATAAAGCATATAAAAAATAGAAAAGAATTAAAGGTTCATCAGGTGACAGCTCAATCATGTATGGAATATTATTAGGCCAAATAAAAAAATGTGTATTTCATGGCTGTTTATAGAAAATGAGGGTAGACTTTTAATTTAATGTACGATACTAACTATCCGAGTGAAATCTAAATATAGTTTACGGACATCATAGATAAGTGTAATAAATATAATTTGTGAGCAAAACAAACAACAAATTCTACTGGGGTGCTTAAAACTAATTGTCTGCAAGAATGGTAAGTTATAAAACGAAAGTGAAAGTAAATGAGAACTAAAGGCTATAGTCTTGGGAGCAGTTGTTATTTCATAAATAATTTGAATAGGTTATATCACCTATTCGAATAATTGATATCACCTATTCAAAATGATTAAGTGATATCACCTATTCAAATAAGTGATATCACCTATTTGATTTGAATAGGTGATATCACCTATTCGAATGGGTGTTGAGTCTCATCAAGAAACAGAAGGTGTCAGTTTGCCATAAAAAAGGTGAGTAATATACAAAGTAAAGTTTAGTAATACGAGTCACATCTTACAATCTATACTTATATATTAATAAATTTTGCAAATAAACTCAATAATGAGTTGGTATTTAGACTGCATATGCGACAGATTCCATGTCGAACTCGATTTCTGGTTTTCCTTCTTTCAGTCATAGTTTGATTGCGTGATGTATTCTCTTCCATTTGAGAACAGACAGTCTGCATCTGGCCATTTGAATGGTCATTCTTAGATACTCTACTGTTACAACACGGTTCCTTCTTACCGTTCAGTTCGGTAGTGGTATAAATTTAATTCTCCGCGCTTGCGCGGGATTTCATCTAGTTATTCTCTAAATTAAAGACTTCTTGTATATCTTTTAATTATTCTGTTGGCTGTTGATACAAGCAATAGAATCGGGAGATACTGGATGCTGAATGTTACAGCTTCTTATCCGAACTCTACAAGAGAAGGATCAGCAGAATTCAAACTGAAAGTACTGCTACCTTGTACTAAGTGCTCGAAACTCCAATCGAAAGTCACAAATTATTTGTTACTAACTCACAGTAGAGTAGTTCCTGGTAAACTACTGCGATTGGGAGACAGCGACTTTCTCTTTCCAAACAAAACAAGCAAAACAGATATGTATCGTCCCATTACCAATCAGCAAGCTAAATGTAAGGATAATCGAAATGTATCTGTCAACGCGCTCAAAAAGAGAATGCGAAAGGGACTAAAAAGGTTTTTAAAAGAACTTTTTCATTTCAAAATCCGATAGGTGATTATTGCTTGATAATTTAAAGGTGTGTGTTTGAAGCCAAAGTGAATAGTATTTAACGGTTTTGAATGAATGCATGTTTTTAATTGCTCTAAGCTCCATGGAGTATTTTCTTTTTGATAAACTTTCAACTTCAAATTATTCCAATTGATTGGTCGTTTATTTACTGAACATCCCTTGAGAAGTTTTCACTCATGCCTCACTGAACATCCCTTGAGAAGTTTTCACTCATGCCTCACTGAACATCCCTTGAGAAGTTTTCACTCATGCCACGAATTGAAAGTCCGCAAATTCAGACCCTTACTAGTCACTTACACTATACGGCCGTTGAGTTGTGAGGGATCTTTTTTATGCAAGCTCCTACTGCGACACGAGACTCTGGTTTATACGTTCTCATTTGAAGGACCGCTCTCTATGTCTCATACATGTAGGATTGGAATCCGTATCGTAATCGTGAGGATCGATGCCTTACGCTATGAACCTTGAACGAAACGATCTAGATAAACAATTCAACTCCTTGTCAAAAGTATTTTGTGCAAGGGGTTTTGCGAATCTTTATTTGTTATCATTGCACATATATACAGCCTTTTCTTTATTTATTCATGCATTTCTTTGTTTTGGCTATGGATCTTATATTATTTTTTAAAGAACTAATTTATTCGCATCTCTGTGTATTTTTATTTAATTGTATGTATATTTTGTTTCATTCTATTCAACAAAGAATTCTTTGACTTGTTCTTTATTTTTAATAAAATGCTTTGAAATCTTTTAAATGAACCATTTTTATATTAAATGCTATAAAGACAATCATAATAATTGAATATCGTTGCATCCCCCTTTCAATTTGGAAAACAACATCCTTACATTCCCTTTACAAATATCGTTTACCCGTTTACTGAATGGGTACTGTTGATTTTATCTTTAGATGTTTCATGTATATGTATATAGTCTAATTAATCCTTCTTTAAGGTCATGATCACACTGTCTGCATAAATAATCTCTCTCTCTCTCTCTCTCTCTCTGGTTTCTAAGCCTTATTATTCATCCA